GTGTTCGCAAGTATGAAATTAAATGTATTACCAATGTAGTTTACATTTTATATACACTAGAAAATTGTGGTTTTTAGGAATATTAAATAAATATAGGATTATGAAAAAATAATAGGAAATTCTTTATCCCGGTGATAAAGTGTGTGATGTATGGAAACATAAACCTATGTTTTTAAATAATCCATTCATGTCTTAGCTGTCGAAATAGTTAATAAATTGTCATAATAAATTGAAACTGTGAACAACACGACTATCTTTGAATCTATCTGTCTTAAATCGCTAATAAAAAACTGAAATAATTTTACGCTAACTAAAGATTGAAGAAAGCTAGGAGTAGGAGAGCCATGCTTCGGTACGAATGGGCCGGCTCGACCGGAGTGATACCACGGCCTCACAGAAAACCGACGTGAAACAACTCTTACGTTTGTTTCGTCATGTGAGTGAGGTTACCGGAGGCTTAATTACCCCCCACCCCGCTGCCCCCGCTTCTGGAATCCCCCGCAATCCTCAAATTCCCCATTCCCCAAAACTATAAAGGTAAGGCACGTGTAACGCCTCTGATGTTTCAGGTGTCCATGGGCGACGCTGATTGCTTACCATCAGGTGGTCTGACAGCTCGTTTACTGGCTTATCCCATAAAAAAATCATTATAGTGCAATTCTCACTATTTCTCCTTTTACAGCCATTCCTTAATAAAATCATACCGTACAATTTTCACAACAAACATTGCACACGAGATTTTTATCTCTAAAATACGGGATTTTTTTTTCTATTTCCCACTCGGCAACGCCATTCGTTTCTCTCATAGTTCCCATGACATTTAAATGCTTTTTCGCAAAGCTGAGCCCCAGTTATATGCTACGCTGTTTCCTATAAAAAATGCATAGGGTAAACGTGTCATACTTTTCTTTTTGTTGTGTTTAATTAGTGCTTCTTGTTTGTTGTCGTTCTAAAGAAGAATATTAAAGAAATTAAAATAGTTAGTGAAGAAATCTCCTGCTGAAACTGTCCTATCCGATGGAATGGATCTACAAATGTCTACTAATTTAACTAAAACAATCTCATTATGACTCGAACGACTGATGGCTGATAACAAATGATAAAAACATACAAGTTAAGTACACTAGTTATGTTTCTGCCACCGACAGAGGGTGCAAATGAAAACTATAATCATTTTACTAAGTTTATTATAATTAAAATTACATGATGATTCCTAAAATCTAACTAACCTAAGAGTGAATGCGTTCGATGTTAGAACAACACTGCTTTCTTATCTTAAAATTCTTTATTATAAAATTAGTATGACGGTTTTATTGAGGTTAAATCTAGTGGGCTGAACGATGATGTAGCGATTCGTAGCTGGGCACAAGGCGGCGACAAGAGGAGACGACTCAGCAGTTCGAATGTTCCAATACTCCGTAGAACCTTCGTTGCATCAAAGTAGGTGTAATGTCCTGATTCAGCAGATCTGGGCCTGGTGACACGGCGTTGATCACGGTGTAGGTATATGTGTCGGCACCGATACGTAACACACTATTGTAGATGTTTACACAAGTTGCTATAACTAATCTACTTTCAACTATAATTTCTCAAGCTCGTATCTCAACTTTAAACAAAAATACGAATCTGTTACCAAAGTCAAACTACCTTCATACCCTCATAATTAAGGAAAAACATGTAGGTACAATATATGAGTGTATAAAATATTTGTCGTTTACGCGTAAAATATAAAAGACGTTTCGTGTAACCAGGCTTTTTGCGCGTTCGTTGTGTTAGTACGTAGTGGTTGGTGGCAGTTATACATTATTTAAGGACGCGCGCTATTCGACTAGCCTGAATATGCGACCTTTGCCTCCCTTCCGTGTTCGTGATAATTAAATTATTAGGCCAGGGTCCGCAAAGGAAGGAAATAAAAAAATCCAAGCATGAAATATAATATTTTTGTTAAATAAATTGCCTTGAAATGTTTATTATATTTTGGGTAGCGTATTTTTAGACGCGTTAATTATTTTTAAGGCCGCCTTATTGGTGTAATGGTCGTGAAAAGGCGACTATATTTTGTTACCTGGAAAACTTATACTATTTTTATACTTAGACACAATTATAAATTGTGACTGGAGAATAAACTAGAGTAATTACTCGATATTTATAGTTAGACTCACGTAGCAAAGGTTTCGATTGATTGAGTTTTCCCAAGTTACACCCACTCAATTAACCACGAGGTAAATATGAAAATGAGAAATGTATTGTTTATCAAAATATTACTTTTAATTGTTTACTTAATACCTTTGTTTAACATTAACATAATTTTGATTTAGAGTTAAAGGATAAACGTAACTTTATACTAAAGGTTGAATCAAAATACAAGCGGACATAAATCGTCGGATTGTTCCGCCCACTCCGCTTACATTCGTATTTATTCAGACCCTACAAATTGACCCCAATTATTGTAATATTAGCCTCCGAAATATCCTCTATTTTGAACTTTATAAATATTAAATGTACGTAGCTTTAGGTACCTAATCGTATAAACTAGTAATCCCAAAGGCCTGGTCCCTGGGCAGCCATAACTTAGACGCCTGCGCGAATCCTGTACTGAATTTTAGAAAGAACTGCTTGTATACAATTTTAGTTATGTTCAGCGTTGCTAAGTTATGAAGTGGACGGAATATTTACATTCATAATGTAAGTCCAAAGTTTTAATTTACGACTTAACACTATGTCTTTGTGAAAAAAGTTTGAGATACTGTTTTTTTATGATGAAGTTCTTTTTTGTCAAAGGGTAAGTTTCTGGTTCGTTTTTAAGATACAGATCCGACCTTGAATGTTCAAATTTCATATTCAAATTATCCAGATTTTTCTTATAATTCGTTTGAAATTTTACAGCACCCAACTGCATTAATGAAATATATTAATATACCAAATAATAAACAAAAAAACATAACAAAAAGATGACGGGCAAACATGTATGGGAAAAGTCTGGGAAACTCATAATAACAAATAATAGTCGTGGAATAATCTTTTTAACGACATACGCCTGGTCGTTATTGATCGGTAGATACATTTTGCCCGTCATATGACAAAAAAAAATATTATTCACTAAATAGGTAGACTAAACAAATTTACCCCCCACATATAATCTTTTTGTCCTATTTTATTTATACACAACCCGGGAACGAACTAACACATCCAAAAACTGCACACAATTTTGTACTATCTACGTGAAACATTCCGTAAAGATTCCATTCATCAGGTCTTTTCAGTATGTCAAAGCCTGTTACACCGTTTGAAGTCGTTTGATGGAGCCTGGATTCCGAAGCCAGCAGCCAAAGCCGCCGGCTTTTTCTGGATTGCCTCTCAACTGTGTTTAACTTTGCAGAGGCTTAACGGAAAAGCCTAAAAGTGGAACAAAAGACCTTAAGTCCATTGTTTTAGTGTTCTTTTTTATTAAGGCATAGTGGACTGGAAATGGTGAATGGATTTTATGCAATGCGATATAGAAGAGAAGTGACTTTAGTATGTACGTAGGGATTGCTCCTACTATTTTGAAACTAGACAGAATTAAAATTGATCTTGCGTATCGTCTACTTAGTAGATATAACTTTATATCATACAACTCGATTAATATTAACAAAGCAAATCATTTCATTGGCCAGAAAACATGTGGAAGTATTAAATACTCATTTTTTTGTTTTTAACTGACGGCGGGCCGACGTTTGACTACTATTACACATAATTAATGGTAATTGACTTATTTGCCTTTTTCTATAGATTTGAGCAGTTTACAGAAGTCTTCAATCATAATCGGTTAATTTAATTGTGTAATATCGAATAAAAGCCTTTTAAATATACCTATATAAAAATATTGATAAGCTTATTAAGCTCAATAACTAAAGGCACGATATCACCCAAACCAAACACACAAGCTATCTCTACTTAACCCTCTAAACAACACAAGCATGCTGTCATATAATACCCCCTTGGCACCAGGTTGCGTCGACACGCGTCGCCCTGCGGTTATGCTCATAAATTAATACAGTGACATAATATTATGATGTAGTAATCGTACATCCGGTTTTCACCGGTGGATTAGACAGGAATTACCGGCCACAGATATTACCTAACGTACTTAATATATTAATGTATATATAATGCTGATATTAGCCTCAAAGCCTTCAAACTATTAAGTTTATCATTGAATTATTCATGCATTCGATTTAAGTGTGGGAGAGCCATGCTTCGGCATGAATGGGCCGGCTCGACCGGAGTGATACCTCATAGAAAACCGACGTGAAACAGCACTTGCGCTGGGTTTCCCGAGGTTACCGGAGGCCCAATTATCTAAATCTCCGAATCCCTAACGCCTTGCTTTCTGAGGTGAAAGACTAGAGTGCGCGGGATTCACCAATAACCCACCCTGGTGGCCACCATCAGGACTTGTAAGGGGCACTAGGTCCTCTGAAAGAAACTGACTCCGGAGCTCCCACCGTGCAACGCCTGCGACGTGCGTATTACTTGATCATAGCTTTGCACAGCAGCACACGACCACTGTGCTACCGTTTTCCTTGAGGCCACTGGATGGGCACCTAGAATCCCCACTCCATGGACCCGTGGCCCCAAAGCTCCGCCTGGGTATTATGGCCTAGGCAACACTTATCTTGCATAGACCAATCACTACGTAAACTTTATTATGATTACATACATACATACATAACATCACGTCTTTTATTCCCGAAGGGGTTGGCAGAGGTGCACATTATGCCACTGTACAATGTAACACCCACTTTTCACTATTTGCCATATACCGGGCAAAATTCCAGACTCCGAGTTACTACTTTGCCCGACCCGGGAATTGAACCCGAGACCTCTTGCCCGGCAGTCGTACTTGCGACCACTCGGCCAACGAAGCAGTCTTTTATTATGATTATATCTTAGTTATTAACATCCAACCTTTTAGTATGATGTAGGAGGATACTAAAACTAGTCTGAAATTGTTTCAGGAGTACCGCTTTGGCCGCTTTCAGCAGGACAACCTTTACAGCTCAACCGAAATAGTAAGTTATAAACATTTACTTAATCTTGAATAAAATGTTAATTTTATTTATCAAATTAGGAATCTCTTATAATAATAGGTAAGAAGTTTAGATTACTGGCTATCGTTGAGTAACAATTTACCGTACATTAACCAGTTCATATTACATGAAAGACATATTGCGTCATCTGGCTTTAGTCAATGAAAAACGAGCATTATTTTCAGTTTACCATTAAACGACTTCAAAAAAGGAGGTTATCAATTCGACCTCTATGTCTGTATGTTTGTGCACAACTATCTCGCGATTGGCTGAACCGATTTTGATGTAGTTTTCGAAAAGTGTTTGTTACACCTAGGAGAACGTTTTAGTATTTTAACCCCTAGTATACCGGAGTGTAGATCTATGCTTGACACAGTGTGTTTTCTATTGTATCTTGTATACCGACATTCAAGAGGTCAATTATTCGACTGGATAAAAGTAGAGTAACGAAAGAAGTATACAGAACGGATATGAATAGGGCCGTCAGTAGAGGGCGCCCTAGACGGACATATAGTAACCACATTGGCGATATATTAAAGAAGGGCCAAATTAGGCATGCATGAAAAGATTGATGACTGTTGATGAAGCGAAAGAGGTATGTAGGAATCGTAGCAATTGGTGTTCCCTAGTCTCTGCCTACCCCTGTGGGAGACAGGCGTGAAGTTATGTATATGTGTATGTAATTATTCGACTGCAAAAAAGAGAGGATTGAAGTTTATAAAAGAATTATTTTGTCCTACTATTATCTCTATCTACATAGGTACATCTTATAAAAACTGCTGAATCACACCAAAGATAGAACATAAATCCTTTAGTATCGCTAGATATACAAATAAGTCTAACACAAAGCCTAGATTTTTATACTTGGAACAACTAGACTGAACAAAATATTTATATATTTTATTCCTGAATGTGACACGACGTGTATAAGCCGGCCATGTCCTCGATTTCTATTATTAATTTCTACCTAGATACGTAATATCTTATTTTCCTTTTATATGATAGACACAACGCTGGTTCCATGTTATTTAACAATAGGTTATACAGTACAATGGAAACAAAACCAAATTATATGACACAGATATTCAGTAGACCTTAATAATATATACACGAAGTTCAGTGATATGCCTATCTCTTAAAATACGTGGGAAGAAGTGAGACGATGACAATATTGTTGAAATCGACGCTTTAAACTCAAGCCTTGGGTTGCCGGGGTTCCGGCTCGAAAGGCAGAAGTAGTGACTGGGTGGTCTTAGTCAGTAAGAGTCTGACGCTCCCTCTCGGCCAACCCAAGGCGGGAGAAGTAATTGGATGATTTTCCTTCCTCAAAAATGCTCAGGAATTGCCTGACTATGAAGGGTAATATAAAACCTGACATTTAACTTAAGAAGAAGAACGAACCAATTTTTGCCAATTGGAATGATGACAGGGTATGAAGATTAAAAATCTAATTATCCCTACCTAAGTTAGGTAATTAAAAAATATTAGACACGTATTTTTTATGTTGTATAATAAAACAATACTTACATAAAACGAATCAAAGTTTAGGAGTGGGGGTTAAAACGTCATTTCTAATTATAAAATGTACATACATAGAAGTGACGTCACGCGACATTTCAAATCAATATATCATCGAAAGTATTCGTTTCTGTAAGAAAATAAAAAATACGTGTGTAATGATTTAAAATAATCTACCAGACGGACATTCAAATAAAAATTAGGCATCTATCCTGTTATATTACCTATACTAACTTCTGCCACGACGGCGTTTCCAAAGAGATATAAACAGTAGCCTATGTGTTATTACATACCATAATGAATCCCTATACCAAACCAAATTACATTCCGATCCCTTTTATTCCATTTTGATTCTGACAATGTGATTGAGCAACAAAAACACATAGGTACTGACAAACTTTCCCGTTTATAACATTAGTATTGACTCTTTATATAATGAAGGTAAAGTAAGAAAGTAAAAAGAAGTATTAAAGTTCAATCACCGGTGTATTGAGAGTTGATTCACTGAACTTCCAACATCTATATATAACATTTGACGTAATGTAACACTGACTATTTTTAGCCCTGTAACTGACTTCGTTTGCAAACTTCGTACTCCAAACTATGAAAGACGTTGCAAAAGGAACTTTATGTTTTAGTGAAAATGTACTTATGAATGGAGTTAAAAAATACGTCATAAAACATTACTATTATTAGAATAAGTCGTATAGTGACAGTAGATTAGAATAGTTTTTTTATATTTGATGGGCCGACGCGACGTTTGATCACTACGAGCAAGTGGTCTACGATGGGGCACGTCGTCCCATAAGCAACCTATTCACTGGGGCCTTGAAGACCCTTTAGGAAATACAGACTTTGGCGAAGAATTCCACTCCTTAGTAGTACGCACAAGTATGGTTTATTTGTAACTGTCCTTGCTTTAACTATGTATGTCATAAAAGCCGACAAAGGGACTATTGATTTTACAAAGCCCGAGCAACAGGACTCTAATAAATCAGATCTTTTTAAATAATGATCTCAAAACCGCGTTGTGTAAAGGAATAGTCTGTCACGGGCTATCAATGATAACACAAACATGTTGAACTACGGTTCTAATAAATTCATTGATAAAAGAGTTCAATATATCAGCTTCAATGCAAAGCTCTTCAAAAATGTTTGCACGGTGGCTAGGCAACTGACTGCTGCGCAACGTGTCGCGGGTTCGATTCCCGCACGGAACCACTCTTTGTTGATCCGGGTCTGGGTGTCATGTGTTTGTGAACTTATTTAATTAACGAATTATCCTACAAGACTGACATACAATTAAAATATTTTAACAAAATAACATAATGCTAAATATGCAGTTTAAATTCTACTCGTCGTATGTAAGAAATTTAATCGGCTTCATCAGCAATCGGTTTAGTGGTGGTACGGGCTGATCGATTGCTTAATCGATTAGCATCTAATTAGAACAACGATAAAAAAGGAAATCAATCCCAAAATCCTAATTCCATACAATATTTTGAACAAGTATGCCCTGTTAACAAATCTCCTACTCAATTTTGAACCTAACCCATCTACCGATGTACCAGGACGATGCTACTACTAACCCTCAATTATCTATAAGTAATAAATTAGTTTTGAGTCCCATTGGATTCATTAACACTGTATTTAAAGCTCTAGTGTGGCTCATATTTTGTGTAGATAATTATGACACAGGATTTACATTGATTAATTGCTCTATTGAGGGTTTACATACTAGATATGCTAGTTGACCTTCCATTACTTTATAATACAGTCCAATTCTATATCATTTTGTAAGGCTTTAGTTCTGAAACTAGTAGAGCTTTTCTCAGTATATTCATGTGAGTAACCCGCGATTTTTAGTTAGCTTTAGTTCCTTGTTTATTTATCATAGAATAATCTTTGGAATGTTTTTAATTGTGCCCGGTATATGGTAATAGGCTCACCCCCTATTACATGGGACTCATAACATAAATAGTGAAAAGTGGGTGTTACATTCTACAGTGGTATAATGTGCACCTCTGCCTACCCCTTCGGGAATAAAAGGCGTGATGTTATGTTATGTTATGTTATGTTTTTAATTCTACTAGGTACCCGTTTTTGTAAAGTTTTCCTAAATATTAAGGAACTATTAAGGTAGGATAGGTCACACTTAACGACATTTTTCACCAACGTAGCTATTTAACTCGTCGAGTACCGGTTTTGTAGACACAATTATAGAACAATAAGTTGCGGTCACCGGTGACCGCTTGGTGTTTGACAGTTTAAGCGACATCTAATGCTTACTTCTTTTAAGAAAACTCTCACACATACTTATAGGTACGGTACGTACACCATACATAAGAAATATCATGATTTTGATAACACATAATTAACATAACATCACGCTTTTTATCCCCGAAGAGGTAGGCAGAGGTGCACATGATATCACTTAATGCCACTGTACAATGTAACACCCACATTTCACTATTTATTTATCTTAATGGGTCCCATGTAATACGGGGTTAGCCTATTGCCATATATCGGACACAATTCGAAACTCCGTGCTACCACTGAGAATTCTTTTAAACCCAGTAGTACTTTGCCCGACCCAGGAATCGAACCTTGCGACCACTCGGCCATCGAGGCAGTCCATCATTCGTTTCGTTAATAATTAAATGCAATTTTATTTTCTTCAATAATATAATCACACGAAAATAAATTGAAATATTGTTGAATGTAAATATGCGATAACGAATTTCTTTACATGAAAATGTTTCATAAAATAAATGAAAAATAATTTGGAACGTTAATTACACTCAATGGCGTAGAAAATGTACGAAAAGCGAATATGCTGTAAAAATAAAACTGAATAATTTCTCAAAGGAATGAATAATAAATTGCGATGGGCTCGTCTGCGGTTCTTACGAAAATAGCTACTCGATATATTCGGTGTTAATATACAATAGACCTAAATGTAAATAGTATAAAGTAAAATTTTGTTCGTTTCAATCTAAATAGATTATGCTGTCAAACAAAAAATAAAATAAAGTGTGGGAAAGCCATGCTTCGGCTCGAATGCGCCGGCTCGACCGGAGTGAAACCACGGCCTCATAAAAAAACCGACGTGAAACAACGCTTGTGTTGTCTTTCGTCGTGTGAGTGAGGTTACCGGAGGCCCAATAATCCCCCCCCTCATCTCCCTAGTCTCCCAAATCCCCGTATCCTCTACAATCCTCAAATTCCCAATTCCCAAAAGGCCGGTAACGCACTTGTAACGCCTTGGTGTTTCGGGTGTCTATGGGTGGTGCCGATTGCTTACCGTCATGTGATCCGTTTGCTCGTTTACTGGATATATAAAAAAAAAACAATCAGACTATAAAACTAAATTGAATGTGCTATACTAAGAATAACTTCATCAAAATAGGTCAAGTACTTGTAATAACTGGAATATAAATCAACTAACACGGAAATCAAAGCCA